TTCGGGAGACCACGGAGGAGATGCTGCTTGGGGGTCCTGGGCAGGAGCCCCCGCCCTCTCCTAGCCTGGATGACTACGTGAGATCCATATCTCGACTGGCACAACCCACCTCTGTGCTGAACAAGGCCACGGCCCAGGGCCAACCCAGGCCACCCCACAGGCCAGCCCAGGCCTGCCGGAAGGGCCGCCCTGCTGTGTCCCTGCGGGACATCACCGCACGTTTCAGTGGCCAGCAGCCCACACTGCCCACGGCTGATGCTGTGGACCCCCTGGACTGGCTTTTTGGGGAGTCCCAGGAAAAGCAGCCAAGCCAGAGGGACCTGCCGAGGAGGACTGGCCCCTCTGCTGGCCTCTGGGGTCCGCACAGACAGATGGACAGCAGCAAGACCAGGGGGACCCCCAGAGGGAGGCTCTGTGAAGCCAGGATGCCTGGGCACTCCCTAGCAAGACCATCGCGGGATGGGCAGCAGAGCTCTGACCTAAGAAGCTGGACTTTGGGGCAGCCTGCCCAAGCCATGGCCTCCCCCCGCAGCCCCCGCCCCAGCAGTGTCCTCAGAACTCTCTACTCGCACCTCCCGGTGATCCATGAACTCTGACCCCTGCCCAATAAAGCCTTCTGTAAAGAGCTCGGTGGGTCTACATCTCCCGTCTTCCCCCATGGTGGTCACTGTCCCTGGCAGGTCTCTGGAAGGGAAATGCTTTTCTGCAGAGGCCCCTGCTGGGGCAGTTCACAGTGAGACCAACCCCCTCTGAATATGATAACAGCCTGTCTCACATGAGGAGATGTTACCAATCCCGTTTGCCTTGCTGGCTGATCACCTTGAGCAAGTTACTTAACATCTGTGTTCTCAGTTTCTCGTGGGTAATATGGGACTAATTACTGGCACCTGCCTCCCAGGCCATTCTGACGTGTAAAGGCATGTAGGAGCCCATTTGCTGAGTAGCTATCGTCATCGCTGGTGGGGAAACTGGTGGTAAGGGTATGAGGGTAGTGGGGTGCCAGCCCCCCAGGTGTTTCAGAACAAGGCCTCAGGCACTCCCAAGTCCGCCTCTTGGCCTCCACTCTCAAAGTCCATGTTGTGTGAGGCCCAAGAGAACACATGGAGTCTTAGCAAATGCACTGAGGTATTCCAGGGGGACTGTCACCTGGCACCACTGGGGCACTCTGCTGGCTACAACTCATACATCCTGTCGTGGCACTGGGAGAGTTCCCCCATGACGAGGGCCAAGACAGAATCTGTACCACTCAGTCCTACCATCCCCACCCCCATCTCACCTCCACCCAGGGGGCTCATGGCATGGTCAGGGTCCCAGCTGTGGGTGAGAAGCAGGGCACTGTCCAGCTGTCCTTCACCGGGGAAGTCCAGATGTTCTAAGGCCCAGGCCAGGGCATCTGGAGTCTGAAGGACCCCAATTCCTAGAGGCATCTGGCAGCAAGAAGGTGAGGCATCAGGGAATGGGAATCAGGCTGCCTCTGGTCAGCAGCAAAGGGACAGAGAGAGGAGAGGAGGAAGATTGAGCTGGGGGCGACAGCCAAGCTCACCTGGGCGGGTCTCTGCCACCTCTTTGCGAGTTGTCAACCTAGGTCATTCTCTTTTTTTGTGGCTATTTTTAATTGCTTTGGATTTGTTAAATGTTTGTCTTCTGTTACATTCAGACAAGCAATTACCCAGTTTACTTATCTATAAAATGGAGACATCAACAGTGTCCTTCACACCCTGCAAGGGCTGGGAACCTGCTCATATGAACTTGGAGCTGCAATTGTGAGCACTGTAGACAAATGTTTGTATCTGTCACAGCCCACTGTGTCTCTGTGGTGGTCTCAAACCTGCAGGTTCCTGACTTTGGGCAAACGTGTGGGGCAGCTTTTAGCCAGGGCAGCCTTTAGCCAACCATCACCCTCAGAAGGTATCCGGAGGGCCCCCGACCAAAGCAGAGGGGCCGAGGTCCAGGCTTGCTGGGTCCAGCCTCACTACAGCCCCTTCTGCAAATCATCATGAAATTGGGTCAGAGGGAAGAGTCCAGTAACTAGGATGAGGTCAGCAGACTCCTCCATGCTCAGAAGCTGCCTCACTGCATCTGGGGAAGTCAGGCAGTTTGAGGAGACCCACCATCCCCGGGCTTCCCCACTAATACCCAGCTTTGTGAAAGAGGTCAATGGCATCTTTGGAAGGCGCTCCCTCCCCGTCGAATACAGGTTTGTGGTGGGGGCCTCTGGCAGTGTCCCAAGCTCCTGCAGAGAGGCCCAGGGGAATTCCTTTCCCTTCAAGCTAAGCCTCCTGGTGGGCCCTTGTAGAGCAGTTGCATTCTCCTTCCTACTTGCCACTGGAGTGGGGGTGGGGAGAGTGGAAAGGGGAGTAGAGAGGGTAGTGGAGAGGGGAGTGGAGGTGGGGGTGGGAGTGGAGAGGGGAGTGGGGCTGGGGGTGGAGAGGAGAGTGGGGGTGGGGGTGGGAGGTGGAGGGAGGGTGGGGGTGGGGGGTGAGAGGTGTTGGTGGGAGGTGAAGAAGGGAGTGATTGGGACACAAGGCCCTGCCCAGAGCGGGCAGGCTGGGAAGCGCTTTGCGGCTCCCACAAAACAGATGTTCTTGGAGCTGGTCAGTCACTCCGGGGGCCAGTGGTCTGCCAGGCCTTCGGAGAGGGGACTGGGCAACTCTCTCAAGGCGGGATGTTGGTTTTCCGCACCCCTGGGAGAGAGAGAGCCCCCGGACCAAGGGAAGCCCCTTCCGTTTCTCGCATTGCTGAGGGGGGTCCCAGGGCCTAGGAGCGGGACTAGGTGTGGAGCGCGTCCGCGGTCACCAGGGGGCGCCCCCGAGCCTCGGCGCCGCGCCCCAGGCGGGCGGGGCCGGCACGCAGTCCCCGGAGAGGGTTCCGCCGCCTGGGGCTACCTTGCTTGCTGAGAGCCGAGAGCGGTGGGTTTACACAAGGACATTTCCTGGCAGTCCTTTTTTCTTTTGAGATACCAGCCAGCCTGGTTACAGTCCTTTGCCATGTTCAAAAGGCACAGGCTGTTCCCCATTGTTCGGGCTTTTTGTTGTAATACAAGCAAAATTATCCCAAAGGTGAGGTTCATGATAGAGGAAGTCGGCGCCTCAGCCTCCAGAGAAGGCGTCCCTCCTCTGGCCCCTTGGAAGCGGGGAGAAAGCTCACAAGGAGACGCTGGCCCCAGGGCGTGGCCCTGCCCACCTTCGGAGAAGTGGGATGAGACAGTGGAGGAGAAGGCACCCCAAACCGTACTGCTCAGGCTGCCGGTGCTGCAGCGGGGAGGGGCAGTGAGAACACGGCGGGGCGGGGGGGTCTCTTTCAGGCGGCTCTGGGAGCGCACCCTGGGTGGTGAGCCCCTCGCCAGCCTGACAGCCCTTTGGCTTGGGGCTCAAGGGCAACAAACAGCTCCCTGTGTCTCTGAGACCTGTTCACTGATACTGGGTTGAGACCTCCAAAGCCTAATGCTGGAAATGGTATTGCCGTTTTGAGTGGCTGTAATCTTGGGGCTATGGCCAGCACCTTTCATTTACTGCAATGTGACCTTGTCTAGAGACTTAAACTCTGGGAGCCTCGATCTCTTTGCCTGGAAAATAATCATTCCTGTATCACCTTATACTAAATAAAGGAGAGGCAAAGCGCCTGGTGCATTGGAGGTTCCCCGGGGAAGTGTCCGTTCCTCTTGTCTGCCCAGCCCTTGGGGCCTGTGGTGCCTGAGGGGAGACTGGCCTGGGATGGCCCTGCCCCTGTAGCAAGTGCCCAGAGGTCCAGGAGGTCGTCCTGCCGGGTGCATCACAGGGCCGCAGTGAGATCTGGAGGCCTATCAGCGTCACAGCCTGAAGCCTCGTCTTATGTGGTGATTGTGACCCAGCAAAAATGCACACTTCTTCAGGCCGGTGCCCCCTGGGCTGTTAAGGCTACAGAAGTTTCCTGAAAGGTACTTTCTGGCTCCATGGAGACCAGGTCAAACCTCACACTTTCTTCAGAGTTAGGGACAGGAAAATCCCCTTGGTGGGTTGACTTTCTATCATTAAGGGCTGTCAAGAACACCTCTTCCCAGCCTTAGAGTCCCCTGCTTCTCTATGTGGGCTGTCCCGCAGCATACACAAACCACAAACGCAGGGTGGAGGCTCTTGGGGCTTCCTGCCCGCCCCTCCCCGCTCCCCCCCCCCCTCGCCCCTGCCCCTGCCAACCGTTCCTACAGAGGGGATTATCTTGGGGAATCCCAAGTGCCAAAACTAAGCTCTTACTAGTGGTTTTCAAACTTGACCTTCCACCGGAATGCCCTGGAGGGCTCGTTAAAACATGGACAGGAGGACTAAGTGTTTTTGGTTCAGCAGGCCGGGGGAGGGGCATGGTAGGAATTTGCATATCTAACCAGTTCAACAGCAGCAACCACACCCCAGGCCTCCACCAGGAGATATGAAGTGGCATGTATTAACAGCACAGGTGGAAATCCCTGTGGCCCCAACACCCTCTCCCCAGTGCCTCCCTCTGCCCAGCACACTGGAGCTCAGGACTGAGAATTCACCCCAGCTCTCTCCAGGCCTACACCTGCTGCTTAAGTCACCCACCAACTCTACACACGGACCCACAGGGTGCCTGGCCTAGGGAGGGCAGGATGGGGGCAGGCAGGGTGAGACAGGTGTCACAGAAGCAAGCGTGAGGAGGTGAGATGGCAGGAGAGGGAGGGGAGCAAGCTCTCGGGCCCTGTGGCCTGGGCAGGTCAAGGAGGTGGAGTGTGAGATTTGTACCATGCTTGGTGGTCACAGGCAGCCCAGTATAGCCTGGACCAGGAGCCAGAAGCTCCTGAAGGGTGTGACGTCTGGCCTGGCCGGCCAAGGGGACACCTCAGGGGCTGGCTGAGGCCATCTGGCAGCAGATTCTGGCTGGCCCTCTGACCTGCCACTGACTGGCAACCCCCCGCTGCCCAGAGCTGCCTGGATGCCTGGGCTAGCTCTGGCCTGGGAGCTGTAGAAGGGTGTCTAAATGACTGAAGAGGGGGGACTAGGACTAGTGAGCCAGGACTAGTGAGGAGGTCTTGGGTTTCCTGGGGCTGCCCTGCCCATTCCTGTGTTCAACAACAGAGGGGCACTTGGAATCCATCAGCCCTGGTCAGATGCTGATGGATGGGAGAAATTCCAGGAGCCAACCCAATCTCAACTGCAGAACCCCCCACACACACAAAAAAAACAGCCTTGCCACGATAGACTTGCCATTAGGCAGTACAAATATGTTCAATTAGACCAAGATAGGGCCACAAAGCCCAACCAAGATTCCCGCGTGAAACATCGGAGGATGTGAATGACCACAAGACTAGGGCTCCACTTGCCCTGCCCGGTGGGTGGTCCCCCAAGCCTAGGCCCTGCAGAGTCCAGCCAGTGCCTGAGGGCTGTGTTCGGCATCAGACATGTATTTAGCCCACATGATGTTTCAAGATTTGGGAAATTCCTCATGAAATTCCAGATAATCTATTCTCTTTTGAAAAATCAGAAAGGGTCTGGCTGCACTAGGCCTACGGTCCTGCATAGCAGGGATGGTTTGATCTGATGGGCGGCTGACTCCGCCCACACCTGCACTGCCTGCTGTGAGCCCCTGAGCCTGTAAGCCCCTGTGTAGCCCCACACTCCACTTTACACATGAAAGCACTGGGGACCAGGAGCCACAGGTGAGACCATGCAGATACATGGTGGGGCAGCAGGGAACAGAGAGGGACCAACTCCTCTCGTCTGCTGAGTGGTGTGATGGGCGGAGGAAGGACCTGCTTTCAGCAGCAGTTCACCTGGACAAAAGTCTCAGGGGAATGGGGAAGGAGGAAGACCCCCAAGGTGATTTCTGCCCCTAGGAACTCTGGAAGGGATGTGCTGACCCTCTGCAAGGAGATGACCTGGCTGCTGATAACCTGATCCCTGGCTCAGGGTCAGAGGTGAGTGATGAGAGTGACCATATAATTTATTGTCCAAACTGGGTCACTGCTGAGCGTGAAGGGAACGGTCTTCATCATTACCCTGAAACAACACATGTCAGGCAAGGCCTCCCAGGGTGCATGGTGACCTCTATGAACAAGAGCAACAGGCTCACCTCGCGGTGTCTCAGCTGGAAGCTCTTGCCCTCATGGTAGCAGTTGTAGGTTTTCAGCAGGCCTAAGAGCTCCGACCTAGAAAGGGAAAGACACATATGTACTCCTGGGGAGTGGCAGGGCCTCAGCTTCTGGCCTTTGGCTTCCCTGGCCTCTTTTTCCTCATTTGTAAAAGGAGTGTGACAGCACCCTTCTCACAGGCCAAGCATAACCAGAGGAGACCAGACTGTGCCATCGCGATGCACCCAGATGGTTTTGCACATGGCCCTGGTGGGAGACATGGGGGTGGGGCTGAGGAGGAGGTGAGACTCACAGGACAGGCCTGCGTCTGGTCCAGGATGTCGAGGGTGCCGACACTTTCACTATCACAGGTAAGGCCCTGGCAGCCTCCCTGTCCTCCACCTGCGTTGCTTCCTCACAGTAAATGCCCTGGACTTGCTTGTGGCATTGTACAGCCTATTGCTTTTCCCCATATCACTTCCTACTAGGCCTGCTGTTGCTGCTGTGGGCCACCCTGAGGGGTGCCTGCCTCTTCCCCACCCTGACTTTCCGAAGGCGCAGCAGAAGGCGATGGTCCTTTGAGTAAGGCCCTGAAGTCTGCAGTAAGTCACTTTCCCTCAATGCTGTCTCCCTTCTGAAGGGAAAGCCACAGCCCTGGCTAATGTTGGAGGGAGGAGAGGCCTAGACAGCTGCCTGAACCCAAGCTGGGCTCTGTGGGGCAGTGAGGCCAACAGACGTGGGATGTGAGCCACACTGGTAATTTCAATCTTCTAGTACATGTTAGGAGGTGATATGGTTTCGATCTGTGTCCCCACCCAAATCTCATGTGGAACTGTAATTCCCAGGGTTAGAGGCAGGGCCAGGTGGGAGGTGTTTGGATCATGGGAGCAGATCTCTCATGAGTGGCTTGGGCCATCCCCGTGATGATGAGTGAGCTCTCGCTCTGAGTTCACACGAGATCTGATCATTTAAAAGTATGTGGCACCACCCTCCGTTCCCTCTCTCTTGCTCTTGCTTTCGCCATATGAAGTGCCTGCTCCCCATTCGCCTTCCACCATGGCTGGAGGCTCCCTGAGGCCTCCCTGGAAGCTGAGCAGATGCCAGCACCACACTTCCTGTAAAGCCTCCAGAACCATGAGCCAACTAAACCTCTTTTCTTTATAAATTACCCAGCTTCAGGTATTTCTTTATAGCAACACAATAATGGCCTAATACAGAAGGGAAAATGAAACAGATGAAGTTAGCATTAATAACACATTTTATTGAACTCAATATATCCAAATTACTATTTGTCAACATGCAATCAATGTAAAAGTTATAATGAGGCCTCGTACACACTTATTTAGTATAAAGTACCTGCCATCTGGAGCCTCTTTTCTATTGCCCATGCCTCCCAGCCATGGACATGTGTGGCTTGGGGATCCCCTATTGGACAGGCTCAAAAAGAAGCACCCCATCACTGTCTCCCAGGGCACCCCATCAGATATCTGAACAAGTGCTCAGAACCCCTCCACCTAAAGGCTGCCCAGAATGAGGGGAATGGCAAATGTGAAGACTCCCCCACCCAACCTGCACACCAAGGCTTACTTCTGAATGGACTTGCTGTCACTGATGGGCACGTGAGAACTCGGCAGACAGTCTTCCTTCATCTTCTCTTCCTCTTGTCTGCAGACCTAGAAGCTACTTGTTGGGAAGACAAGGAAGGGTGGACGAACAGGTGAGCCAGAGGAGTGCTGGCCAGTGCAGCACCCAACACCTGCAGCCCTGGTACAGACACTGTCAGCCTTGGCATCACACTGCCTGGGCATAAGGTGGCTGCAGCTGAAAGGGTCTGGCCCAGACCCACATGGCCACATGGCAGCCAAGTTGCCCTTGGTTGGGCAAGGTCATGCTGAGCCAGTGACACTGGTCCTTTCAGTCACCCACCTCGGAAGACTCTCCATAATCCCCAGGAATCTAGATCCGTCTCTTAAGCATTTTAGACCACATGCTTCCTTCCCTTGGCTGGGACAGCCTGACTGACGGCTTCTGCCTTGGTTGCTCCTGTAATCCTCCAGAGCTACCCTGGGCCTCTCTCCTGCCTTCCCACTGAACCAGGCAGTGGCCCATCACTGGCTCTCCTGGCAGTGGGTTAGTCGGCCTGTGTTCCCTATGTGCTGTAGATGGTTGGCATCTTCTCTGAGTTATCTCATCCAGTCCCTACAACAATATTGTGAGATGAGTATCACCATATTCCTATTTTACAGATGAGAAGACAGAGAGAGGAGTTTACGTACTTTGCCCAAGATTGCCAGCAAGTAAGCAGCAAAGCCACTGTTCCAGCATTCGGACACCTGATTCTGGTCTCTTAGCACCTTCTCTATATCGATCACGGGCAGTGACTTAAGCCCCCAAACCTTCCTTTCCTCGTCTGTGCAATAAAGTAATCTCAAGCCCACAGGATCACTAGTGGATCCACACACACTCTGTTCACACACACTGTTCCACACACATACTGTTCTCTCTTTCCACACACAGCCTTGACTGGTTTGAGGAGCCGCTCCTGCCCTCCCCAGGTTTCTTTCACGGACGGTAAATCCACCAGAGCTTTCTCGATCCTGTTGGCATCTGCACAGCTTCCTGTTCCTCTCACTCCCCCATGTCAATGTGGCCAAGGACTCTTATCAAGGCCTCCTACATCCTGGGCAGGGAGGTAAAGCTTCACACACACACACACACTCTCTCTCACACATACACTCATACACACACATACACAAAAACGCACACACGTACACAATCACGTGCACACACACATACTCTCATGTGCACACAAAAACACACACATACAGTCACACTCAACACATACACACATGCTCTCACACACACAAACACAACACACGCACATACACACAAACACACACAATCTCATGCACACACACTCACACACACACACACTGCAGTGCTGACCTTCCCTCCACCTTCCATCTCCCAAGTTGCAGCACAGGGCTGGGGGTGTTAGGACACATTGGGAGGGGGCACAGCCTGGGGCCACACCACATCCTTCCCATGGCAGAGTTCCACTCATTCACAACTCCCCCACATCTGTTCACACAAACCCATCATGTCTTCCCGACGTGAGTGTGTTCTAATGCCACGGGGAGCGGGGAGCTCAAGCTCAGTTCCACCTGCTGTCGTATTTATTAATGTCCTCAGAGCCCGTCCCTGCAGAATGCCCATCCCCTCGGGCACTCATTCGGACAGGGCCAATTTGCTCTCTCCCTCCTTGTTTGACACCCACAAATGTGATGAGCCTACCCTCTGTGCTAGCATCAGCCCTGCATGAGCCTGTGATGCCAGAGGCAGGGAAATACAGTTGGCCTGGAGACGGGGAAGGATTTGAGGGAGTGGGCTTCCTGATCACCTCAGGATCATCCTATCCATACCTCCTCCCCTCTGCCATGTTCCAGAGTGAGGCACCTCAGGGCCTGGAAGGATGTCAGGCCCCCAGCAGCAAGGCCTGGAGCCGGGGACTTCCTGCTGCATTTTTCTTGGCCAGGCAACAGGGATTTCAAAATAAAGTTTCAGTTCCTCAGCACCTCCGCTTGCCTGTGGAAAAAGTGATCTGCCCCCCTCTCTGGGTAGTTCCTCATAGGTTTGCAAGGCAGAAGCCTAGTGCAGCCTGGGGTGAGCCATGGGACTGGGTTTCTCAGCCCACACTGCTTCTGTGGGTCTTCAGCATAACGAAATCTTGCTTTCAGCAAACTCATTACAGGAAGGGCTGGATTGACCCCCATATAACAGGCTGTGTTTTCTTCTCTTGCCTTCCTCTGTATCCAGCTTCCACCCCAACTTCCTGCTCTAAGCCCTGGGCTCACTGAACAGTTCACGGCTCCCCTAAGGGGCTCTATGCTTTTTCTTCCCTTAGGGCTTTTGTAGTGCTGTTCTCTGTTCAGAACCCAGAACTACTCCTTCCTCTGATGTTAGCTCCTCCTGGAAACCCCTGCCAGAAAAGCCCTAGTCCATGTCGGGGCAGCCCCTCTCTGCCCCATCACCTCTTCCCATTTCCCCACTGGGCCCTGCAGAACCCAGCTCTTGTTTAGACTTCCCTCCCAAGAGAACAGGAGCATGGGGGCGGGGTGCTTTACCACTAGTTTCCAGCCCCAAGTATAAGCCTGGCACATCGCAGGAAGTCCATACATGGTTAAATTGCCGAATAAATACAAGAAGCTTCTAGACTCCCTCCAAGTCTACTCTTCCAGAGCTGTGCAAATACAGCAAGAATAAATAATATAAAAGTCTCCAACGGCCACGGAGGTGACTCCACTGAGGGACACTTGTCACGGGGTCCATAGGGAATGGGGGCACATTCCTTCTGCGACGTGGCAGCTCTTTTGGCATTTCATAAGAAGCCAGGAATCTGGATTTTTCCGGGCTATATTTCACTACTGAAAGGTGGATGGCTGGCAGAGGCATGCACTGTCCCTGGAATGCCCATGTGGTCGCTCACCACCCTGGCCCTCTGCAGCTGGCTGGGGCCATGGGCCTCATTCTGACCACTGAGCTGTGAACAAGTGTGTGGGTCCCTTCCAGGCCAGCAGCTTTATGAGCCAGTGCACAACCCTGCAGTTCTCCTGTCTCCACCATGATGGCCCAGAAAGCCACGTGTTTCAACTGTGCAGCTACTCGATGGTCAGCCTGGGTCTCTGAGTGACTGTGGACCAGAACCGTCTGCCAACCCACACTGGATATAGACTGAGAAAGAAATAAACCTCTGCCGTGACAAGCCACTGGTGTATCAGGGATTTGTTACTGCAGCATAACCCAGACCAAGTCTCATGAAATACATAATCTAATTAAAACAACATGTATTTAATGTAATATTTTATATTTAAATATATTTATAAATAAACCAAACACCTTAGTAAGACAGATACACCTAGTGGTGATACAGGAATAATACAGATGGTTGCAGGAGAATAGAAAATTCCAGGCAGCCGTTTCACATGACCATCAAAAGGAAACTGTTGAAATAGGAGTTATAAGAAGCTAGGGGTCATAAGACTCTAAAAAATCAGAGTGTGGCCAAGTTGGCTAAGACCAACTGAACCCAACATGGTGCTGGATTCGACCTAGGTTTCTCCTCACTCATTAACCAGGCAACTCTCTGGGATGCTAAGTCACACACCCACAGCACCGTGACAGTTCCAGAACACCAATATGTGACGTAAAAGTGGGTGGCACCACAGTTTCAAGAAAGTTCCACATTTTTCCAGGAATCTTCTTGGATATTCCACCCCTTGGTTAAAGAAACCCATCAAGGCAGCAGCTCCCAACTCCCTTGCACACTCTCCCTTCTTGAGTGTATACTTTCACTATTTTCTGACTTGTACGAGAAGGAATTCAAGGAGTCAAGAGCCTGGACATCAGCTGGGGTCAAAGTCCCACCAGTGTTTGGGGACCCCTCCTAGTCCACTAGACAGTGAGGCTCCAGTTTGTGACTTCTGATTCACGACACGGCATGATTTACATTTACTTCCAGTCTCCTATAGTGTGTGGGGAAGAAGTTCATTTTGCCATATGTAGTAGGAATACTTAGAAGTGGAATTTCCCGTAAGTCAGGCAGTGGTTACTTATTCATAGAAGATGCTTCCTAAAGAGCTCTGGGGTGCTTAGCTGCATGCCTTCTCCTCTCTGGGCCTTAATTTTCCCATCTGTACAACAAGAATATTGACCTCCAATGGGTTTGAAATTTTCTTAACTATGGAACTCTTTGCTCAAATAGAAAATCTATGCAAAACAGATTAAAGGGGATTGCTGTGGTTAACAGTGAGATGGTGGCAGACAGCCTCATCTCCTAGGACTCTGGGTAATACTACTTGAAAAGCATGGTTCTCCCTCACTGGCCTTCATGAGTGCTTTTCCCCTGCATGCCTGCTTATTTACAGGACACAACTATGGTTGAGTGTCTCCAGCCATGATTGAATGGCATCAGCTGGGGGCGGCTGCTCAGAGGAGACAAACCAGGAGGAAGGTAAAGAAGAGTCCTAGACTGCAGATGGCAAAGTGAAGGGGTAAAGGGGAAGATGGGCTTGTGGGGTGAACAGCTGGGGCAGAGAATGGGGCATGGCATCTCAGAGGAGGGCAGGGGGGTCAGCAAACAAGGCTGAGGGAGGTGGCTCAGGGCCCACTGCAGCAAAGGGAGGCTCTTCCAGCTTGCTGGGCTGGGTCCTGAGCCTTACAGGGTAGGAACCTCGGCTCCACACAAAGACAGTCTCTCCTTTGAGAGAGGCACACATTTCTGTGTCCTGCAGCACTCATTAGCTTCATGGCCCTAAGCAAGGGAAGGAGATGAAAATATTTTATCCCCAACATACATTTCTTTGACATATTCTTAAATGGCTGCCACTTGCCCATCCTGAAAAAAGTGGCTGGTAGAGTATTTTCAGTGGGAAAATTTGCATCTGTAGAGAATCTCCATTAATGAAACCAGGCCCCCTCCCCTTTCCAGGTCTTTCCCCACATCCAGGAGAGATTGAGAATCCACACCTTTAAAAGTCTCTTTGAGGGAGGCTTCATCTACATAACAAGGTCACTTTCACTAGCCAAGCCCATAGCCTTCTCCCATAGCCTGTTTCACCAGAATCTAAGCCCCTATTCTTTCTGTAACCTCAAAATGGTATATAAGTCTCTGTAGATGGTATATAACTCACTGGGAAACTGGATCATCATTCTGAAGGCTCCCATGCATGCACCTTAAGTAAATGTGTATGCCTTTTCTCCTATTAATCAATCTACCTCATGTCTGATTTTTAGTGAAACTTTCAGGGGCCAAGAGCCTATGGCTCCCACAAAAGTCACTTGGTCTCTCTGGTTCTCACACCCAACACCGCAAGAAGACCTGTTTTCCCTGAGCTCCAGGATCACTCACAGAATTCCACTGCAGAACGCAACACTGAGCTTGCGCCCTATCCCCTTAACCAGACTTTCATTCATTTTGATGAATTTCATTCGTTTTGACATCACTGGGCGAGTCCTATAGGAAGCTGCATGAGTACATAAGGGGTGTCTAAAAGACAGCTGTGGCAGGAGCGAGCTACAAGGGGGAACACACACATCCAACAGGAGGGGAAAGGGAGCCATGTCTCTATTTGGAGCATTTTCCTGGAACAGCCTTTTGCATTGAATCTCCAAGTGCACTAGGTGGGGCCTTTGAGAATCTCTGCCAGCGTATTTTCCAGTCCTTTATAAACAGCACAACCTTATCTTGAAACTAGATCCTAGGTAGAAGCCTAATACACAAATGGATTAAAGCGAGGCTGCATGGGTGGCAGCAGGAGTCAGGAGAGGACGGGCTGGGGCTGGCCTGCCACCCAGGCTCAGGCTCAAAACCACAGAGTGACAGATGCAGTTGGACAGGCCAAGTCGGCCAGCGGGCCTTCCCCTCCCCCCAGCCGTGCCATTCTGCTGGGAAAGTTCAGCCTTCTTTGTCTGGGCCTGCTCCCCTCCCCCAGGTCCCAGGACACAGCTCAGGCCTCCACGCCTGTTTTCCAGGCTGGAGGACACTCTGTCCCCAACCAGAGTGATCAACTGCAGCCAGGGCTCTCTGTAACCCAGAGGCGGCCCCCTGGGCGGCATGCCAGCCATGGCTACCTGTCCCAGTGAACAAACAGTGAGTTGTTCTCCCTTTCCACTTCAGCAGCTGTTCTGCCAGCCGTGCAGACAGACAGCCTGCTGTCGCTACTGAGGGACAAAGGCCACCAAGGGCTTTAGAGCTGCTAGGCATGGGCCGTCTTTCCTTTTTTGTGTTTGTGGGGACAGTTATTACAGAAGAAGATGACTGTGATTCTTCCAGTCACTCCCGGGGCCCAATTCCTACAGGTCAGTGGCAAAAGGAACAGAAGATGCCGAGT